TTACCAACTGGTTGTTTCCACTGATCTAGTCTGATGTTTTAGCTAGTGTAACCACGTTACTGTATTAACTATAAATTATTTTACCAACTGGTTGTTTCCACTGATCTAGTCTGATGTTTTAGCTAGTGTAACCACGTTACTGTATTAACCATAAATCATTTTAACAAGTGGTTGTTTGCACTGATCTAGTCTGATGTTTTAGCTAATGTAACCACGTTACTGTATTAACCATAAATCATTTTAACAAGTGGTTGTTTGCACTGATCTAGTCTGATGTTTTAGCTAATGTAACCACGTTACTGCATTAACTATAAATTATTTTAACAAATGGTTGCTTCCACTGATCTAGTCTGATATTTTAGCTAATGTAACCACGTCACTGTATTAACCATAAATTATTTTACCAACTGGTTGTTTCCACTGATCTAGTCTGATGTTTTAGCTAATGTAACCACGTTACTGTATTAACCATAAATCATTTTAACAAGTGGTTGTTTGCACTGATCTAGTCTGATGTTTTAGCTAGTGTAACCACGTTACTGTATTAACCATAAATCATTTTAACAAGTGGTTGTTTCCACTGATCTAGTCTGATGTTTTAGCTAGTGTAACCACGTTACTGTATTAACCAAAAATTATTTTACCAACTGGTTGTTTCCACTGATCTAGTCTGATGTTTTAGCTAATGTAACCACGTTACTGTATTAACCAAAAATTATTGTACCAACTGGTTGTTTGCACTGATCTAGTCTGATGTTTTAGCTAATGTAACCACGTTACTGTATTAACTATAAATTATTTTCGTCGTTAAGTATTTCAGATATGTGTTTGATCACCGTCTAGAAATAAAACATTTTTCAATAGTTATTCACATAGCAAAACTTTCACAATGAAAGATTATTGAAATTTCTACAGTTTCAATCAGCGCTTGATAAAGACAATACTGTATGGTGTGGAATTTCTAATCACTTAAATCAGGTATAACAACTCTCAAATACAATCGTTCTTAGAGCTTTGAAACTAATGAAACAATGATGTACGCAAGAACTACTATATCAAAGATCTAATAGAAGGTGAAAAAATTATGATTTATTCTATTTTGAGAAGAACAGAAAATCTCAGAATGCAAAGATAAATGTGATTTGGATGTATTGAATAACAATATTTTTGCCACCGTTAAAATTCTTTAGGAATATGCATGAGTAGAAAGCCTTTCACTATGAAGAATTCTGTATTAGACAGGTATTATAATTACTCCTCACAGACAGAAGATCAAGTATATTCCATCACGAATGGATTAGGTAGCGCATAGAATAAAGCCCTCTATTATTTAGTGAGCGGATTACATTATATTCGTATAATACATTATACTTAAGCTACTTCAAGAAAAAAAGTACGTGATCCTTAGTCCGGTATTTAGCTGTATTACAACACACTTCGCCAGTAATAGTAAGGATTTATCCGGAAACTGGAGCACAGAAACATTTTAGTTCACTCGAACTTAGTGAAGGTTGATTAAACTACGATCGTCAGTAGTGACATGCCTGAACTTCTCAAAGTTGTGATGATCTCTACAAACATCTTGATTTTTTTCAGTCTTGCGTGATTGTTGCAACTTATACGTCTTAAAGGATTCAATAAACCTAAATACAATTTTTGAACAAAGAAAGATTTTTAATCATTAGGAATCTCTCTTATCGCCTGCCTGAAGTGACATATATTTTCAGCGTATCATTGTTTGTTTGTAGTTAGGCACAAAGCTACACAAAGGGCTATTTGTGGTCTGCCCACCACGGGTATCGAAACCCGGATTCTAGCGTTGTAAGTCCACAGACATACCGCTGGACCAATGGGACTTTTTTTTTTTTTGCTATCCGCTTAGTTGAAGAAAACTACGTTGTTAATTGTATT